GTGCACGCCTTTAATCCCAGCACTCAGGAGCAGGTGGATCTCTGTGAGTTCGAAACCAGCCTGGTCTACAGAGCGGGTTCCAGGACAGGTTCCAAAACAACACAGAGAAACCCTGTCTCGAAAAAACAAAAAACAAACAACCCCCCCAAAAAAACACAAGTCTATTTTCTGGGAGGCAGTTTAAATACCCTGTGGGAGTGGTCTTGAGCATCTCTGGGGGGAGGGGTCATCATTTGGCGGGCTTTCTGAGATGCAGCAGGGCTTAGAGGGAGACGGGGGAAGGGAGCTTGGGTGGAACTTCCACCATAACATCCCAGACTCTGTGGGTATACAGATTCCAGAGGCCAGGGTGAAGCTGCCACCATAACAGCATTAACATGTTACTTGGGATTTATAAAAAAGGATCCTCTTTTTAAGGTTTTATAAAAATACTCCCTGAGTATTGACTAAAGTTAGTTCTTAAAATCCTATAGAGATATAGGTGGCATATGTAAAAAGGACTATACAGGTAGAAACTGGAGTTGCTCAATTGTTACTGTTCCCATGTTTTAAAGGTAAAGCAACTCCAGTATGTAGGGTAGGACAGTAGGTTTTGGAAGTACTAAAAAGAATGTATTTTGGCAAACTGTTATTAATGATGAGAGGCCAAAGCTAAAATTGCAAATAAATGGTATTGAGATTTCAGGCTTACAAAGCTGATGTATCTATAATCTCTCAAGAACCATAGAATCCCAACTGGCCTTTACAAGAAGTTTCTATTCAATTTTCAGGAACTGGAATATTATCTAATATAAAGCAAAATGTGAAATGGATTAAATGCATAGGATCTGAAGAACAGAAAAGAACATTAAAGCCCATATAGGTGAAACAGTGTCCCTTAACTAAAGAGAAGTTGCAGGTTCTTAAACAACTAGTAAAAGAACAGTTAGATGCTAAGATCATTGAGGAAACTATTAGTACTTGAAATTCTCCTGTATTAAAAAAAAAGAAATCTTGAAAATGGAGACTGTTAATTGACCTAAGAACTATTAATAAGATAATTCGACCTGTGGAAACTTTACAGCTTGGGATTCCTTTACCTTCTTTATTACCTAAAGACTGACCTATTATAGTTATCAATTTGCAGGATTGCTTCTTTACTACTCCTTTATAAGTACAAGACAGAGAAAAATTTACTTTTATAGTTCCTACTGTTAACAATGCTCACCCAGTAAAGAGATACCATTGGAATGTCCTCCCACCAGGAATGCTAAATAGCACAACTTTGTGTCAATATTTTGTAAATGAAAACACTGGAAGTGGTACATAAAAGTTTGCTTGACTTATTATATATCATTATATGGGTAACATTTTATTGGCTGCTTCTGATACAGATACCTTAGAAAAAATATTTAAGCCGGGTGGTGGTGGCGCACGCCTTTAATCCCAGAACCACTCGGGAGGCAGAGGCAGGCAGATCTCCGTGGGTTCGAGGCCAGGCTGGACCGACAGCCTCCAAAACAATACAGAGAAACCTGTCTTGTAAATACCAAAAAAATATATTTAATGTGGTACAGAAATTTTTACCCTGTTGGGGATTATAAATTTCTCCTAAAAATAATGAGGGGATTCTCTTAGTTATCTAGGATTTAACTTGAATAAACAGAAATTTCAGTCACTAAAGGTATAGATTAAAAGAGATCAGTTGCACACTCTTAATGATTTTCAAAAATTATTAGATTATATTAACTGGTTGCAGCCTACCTTTGGATTGTCTACCCAAGAAATGAGCAAATTGTTTCAAATTTTGCAAGGTGACTCAGATTTAAACATTCAAAGACAGTCAGCAGCTGTGGCTGACAGGGAATTAGCCCAGATAAAACAAAAATTTCCCAATGCCTATGTGGATCAATTGGATCTCACAACTGGAAGTATTTTAGTCATTTTACCTTCCAATCATTCCCCTACTGGACTCATTATGCAAAAGGAGGATAATATTTTAGAATGGATTTTCCTAGTTCACAAACAGAGTAAAAAATTAAAGACCTATATAGAAGAAGTTTCTGAACTAATTTTAAAAGGAAGAATAAAGACTTTGTCAATTGTCAGGTCTGAATCCAGCTGAGATTGTGGTACCATATGCAATACTGAAATTATGCAATTGTGGGTGGTTAATGATGATTGGTAAATGCTACAGACCACAGACTTATGCTGTGAGAGCTCAACTGACAAAAATCATGGCGCTAACCCACTGGGATCATTGGAGGAGGCCCACACACATGACAGTGGGACTATTTGCTATCAACAGTCACTGTCCTTACTGTAAATTTCCTGTGAAGCCATAGCGCTCCCTTTCTATGGTGGGATTCATCCCATGAATCCCAGCAGTGCATTAATCAATTACTGGGTACATTTTCCATTATGTGTTGGTATACTAGATGACTCACCTCAGCGATTCGTGATTCTGGCAAGACAGTAATCACATTCAGTACCCTTACTCTCTCAACCAGGTCTTTGTATAAACTTAGAAGTCTGCCCCCTTGCAGTTATCTTCCTTGGCAGACAGTTGGTGTTAGTGTCCCGGCAAAGAGACCCCAATTGAGACATTCACAGATGCTTAGAACAAGAATTACTGCATGTCTGAAGTTGTTGAGCCCTAGCTCTCAGAGAGATAGAGAACAAGAGTGTCTGGGATTCACTCTGCCAGCAGATAGGGAAGTGCTGGCTCAAGCTAACCCTACATTATCATTTAGCTTATTTTCCTAGTCACATTTAAGAAAATATCGAAGTATAGGTATTCCCCTCTTAGATTTCCTTAATGATTTCGCCTCTCTCTTAATTAACCCCCTTTTTTCCTTTGGAAGTTCTTGGAGGTTTAACCACTCCCACCTTGAGCCATAGAGAAAGACTGACTGACTGTTACTATTTTGTGTAAAACTTTTATCTGTTTCTATGACCCTGAAGAACTCCAGTCCTGCACCTGGCTAGGGCTGGAGAATTGTTGGTTGTAAGTGTATATTAGTTGGGAAGTTTTGCAGCACAGCAGAACAATAGGAGAAAAGGAGACTAGACTAGAGAGGAAGAAGCTGGAAGAAGAAACATTGAGAAGTTAGAAGTAGGACAGGATTATTAGACTAGAAACAGAACAATAAAGAGCACACGAAATAAAGAACATGACCCTTGGATTGTGTGTGAAGTTACTATAGAAATCTTTTAGGCCCCTCCTTCACTCCTGAGAAACAATCTACCTTTGGGACCCTGGGTAGGGGATGGAGCAGGTCTCTTAGCCTTTATAGGCAAAGAGCTTGTAAGAATTTCTTAGGAGAAATGAAAAACAAATATCCAAAAAGTAAGTGGATTCAGTTTATAAAAAGAACGGAACAAATTCGTCCCCATATAGTGAAAAGGGCACCTATTTCTGGGGCTCTTATGTGTTTTTTTGTTTTGTTTTGTTTTTTTGTTTTTTCAAGACAGGGTTTCTCTGTATTGTTTTGGAGGCTGTCCTGGAACTCGCTCCGTAGACCAGGCTGGCCTCGAACTCACAGAGATCCACCTGCCTCTGCCTCCTGAGTGCTGGGATTAAAGGTGTATTCCACCAATGCCCAGCTGGGGTTCTTACATTTTATACTGATACAAATAAATAAGGGATGGCTGTTATAAAGCAGGAAGCATCAGTAAAGTAAACCAAAGTCCATATGATTCAGTTAAAAAATCAGAGTTGTATGGCTATGCCATTCTAATTGTTTTGTTAGACTTTAATGAATCTCTTAATATAATTACTGATTCTCAATATGCAGAAAGGGTTGCACTGTATTTAGAAACTGCTGAACTTATTTATGATAATTCAGAATTAGCTTTATTGTTTGTACAATTACAGCAGGCAATCCAAGAAAGAAATTGCCCACTTTTTATTACCTATATTCGATCTCATATTGGGTCGCCTGGGCCATTAGCAAAAGGAAACGAAGAAATTAATAAATTATTGATAGGAAATGTGTTGGAAACTTCAGAATTTCATAAGAGACATCACGTTAATAGTTGGGGCTTAGGACTGGAGAAATGGCTCAGTGGTTAAGATCACTGGCTCCTCTTCCAGAGTCCAGAGTTCAAATCCCAGCAACCACATGATAGCTCACAAACATCTATAAAATATGCCTCTCTCTTCTGGCCTGCAGATAGAACACTGTATGCAAAATAAATAAATTAATCTTTAAAACAATAGTAGGGGCTTTGCCTCAGTATGCTGGAATGAGAAACTGGAGGAAGGAAAGCCCGTGAGCTGCAGAAGTTCAGGGTTGGCGGTGAGGTGAGAAGGGTTGAAAAGCGAGGTGCTGGTGGACCTGGAGGCCAGCTCTTCGGTATGCTCATAGGCACCATGGGTAGCCATTTGTCCTGACTTCCTTTTAGCCCCAACATTTCAGCTGTTTTTGTTGATGACAAGGGACACTGCCATCTCTACTGTGACTGCTTTTTAGCTGAAATTAGGGTGTCATTGTCAGGGCCCAGGAAGGTTGGAATGCTGGTCAAATGCCAGGGATGGAGAGGAGTGAAAGCTGGCAAACATCTATTTCACTCCTGCCCAGGTTCTTTGGGACCACCTGGGGCTAGGAAGAGCAGGCTGCTTTGGAGTAGTCTGGAAATGCTGGTTCAAGCCAAGGGCTCAGGTTGGAAATTCTGTCAGAAACATCTAGCTTACATCAGTTTTCAGCAAGTCCAGGGCTTTTTGTTTTGGTTTTTCAAGACCTGTGTAGCCCTGGCTATGTAGTTCAGACTGGCCTTGAACTCAGAGATTCACCTGCCTCCCAAGTGCTGGGATTAAAAGTGTGTACCACCACCACTCAGCCATAGGTGCTATTTAAAAACATCTATTTTCCTACATAAGAGTTGAATTCAAATTACATATTCAGATAGAGTATGCTATAGCAGATCTGTTTTTCTCAACAAGAGTTGAATATCATATATAAAATGCTGTAGCAAATTAAGATTTCCTGTGCATAGACTTTTAGACAATCGGCCTTTTGTTATGTTTTAACCTTTTATTACAGATTTTGAAAAATTTTAACCATACCTACTGAACTTACAACTTCTGTGACGGAGTTTACACAATGGTCTTAGGAGAATTTCTTTGAGAGCAGAGAACAAAGAAATCATAGAGATAAAAGATCTTTAAAGGTGAAAAGTAGGAAAAATTTGATAAAAGAGAGTTGGGAAGTGTAGAGCAGAGAAAGTTGAGATATAAGAGAGTTGGGATCATTTGTTTGTGCAGTGGCAGAGTTGTTACCACATGAGAGGTTTTAGAAATCAAGTGTGCTGGCTTTGGCCATTGACCTGTACTGAGGCCAAGCCATTTGTAGTAAGACAATGAGGCTTTAATGGAATTTCTGAGTCCAAGGAGGAAAAGAGAAAGGGTTGGAGACAGGAATTCCACCGTGGGAAGGTTCCAAGAGGAATCTGAGATAGAGACAGGGTCCAAAGGAAGAACTCCATCCAGGAAGTATTCCATTACTGTACAGGTCCAGGAGGTCGCAAAGGGGAGGCAGAGCAGACAGCTCTGAAGAGGAGAGGAGGACAGGGTCCACAAACAGTAACTCCAACTGAAGGAGGGTTCCAATACCCTGGAGACCAAGAGGGCATAAGGAAGCTGCAGGACTTCCTGGAGGGAGCTGAGAGATAGAAGGGACAAGGGCAGAAGAGAGAAGTGTAAGTGTCCTGGTGACAAGAATTTCAATCCAGGGCAGCCCCAAGGGGACAGAGACCGCCAGAGAGAAATATCCCAAGTCAAAGGAGAGGCATCTCTGTCTAAGTGATGGGGACCCTGGAGGGTGAGAGGATGCTTCCTGGCACACTGGTGTGGCTTTCACAGTAATAATGGACAAAGCAGACAGCTCCAGGGAGACACTTACCCAGTAGAGGAGGAGAGAGGAGTTGGTGGAGCAGGTGGGGAAGAAAGCAGCTGAAGAGGGGGACTAGGAGAGACAGAGAAAGAGGAGCAACCCTCTTAGCAGTGAGATGGCCATGGGTTCAGTACACAAGAGGGCATAGCAGGCCCCAGGAGCCAGAGCCACTGAGAAGAAACTTACTGAGCAGGCAAGGAGAGACAAATGGTTAGGGCAGGTAGAAGTGACTGGGGGTAAACCCTAAAATTTAAGCCAATTATGGAGGGTGGCAGGAGCCAGTAGAAACAAATGATCCATACACACATGTCTTAGGAAAGTTGGTTTAGTTAGGGGAGGCTGAGACCCTTGGAAGGGTGTAGTAGCCATCTGCAGTAGCGTCACGTTATGGAATCAGTCTGTATTACTCTGTGTTCGTGCCTGAGAAGGGGAGTGTGGATTGAGAAACGGCAGATAAAGATGCTAAGGAAAAGATAAAAGATAGAGACACAGGTAAGAGTCAGGAGGACAATACTGAATGCCCTAAGCTTATTCTTCAACATTCTTAAATACCCCAACCAAAAAGCGAAACATGGCTGAAGACTTCTTTGTCAAGATACAAGGAATAAACAGGCCTTCTTTCTTAATTTTCCACCTTAGACTAAATTTCTTGCTACCTGGCCTTAAGGGTTAAGAGTAACCATACCTCAGGCCAAGTCTTCTCTTGTTATTTAGATAAGACATCTACAACCAAGATCAAGCATCCTACAGTAGCCACATCTTAGACATTTAGGTTTTATGACTTTAACCTGGGGAGAGTAAGAACAGTTTTGAACTCTCTGATATTAAGTCAAGATGAAATGAAGTCATTTTTATAGTTCCCAACAGAAGGGGATTATAAATGTTCTTCCTGGGTTTCGGGCACCAGGCACATAGAGTAAGGACATATCCATTCCAGTTACGGTTGGGAGAAAGCTGTTATTGTAGATATGAGGGAAATTACAGCTAGATGCTTCTGGAAGAGCCAGAGCAGACAGAAGAAGTAGCAAACCAAACATGGCCAGCAGACTGAACTGGGCCATGAGAAGGGGTGAGGAGTGGGGAGAGAAAGAGGAAGATAAGAAAGGACCAAGAAAGAAGGGGCAAGAGAATGCCAAGATGGGGAGAGCTAAGAAGGCACAAGGCTGAAACAGCGGGGTTATATAGGAATGAGAGACTGGGGGAAGGGAGCCCATGAGCTGGAGAGGTTCAGGGAAGGTGCGGGGGGAGAAGAGCCGAGAAGAGTCACAGGTACTGAGTGGGCCTGGAGGCCAGCATGCTCTTTGGTATTCTCACAGGCACCATGGGTAGCCGTCCGTTCTGAGCTTCTTTTGGAGCCGGACTTGCAGGACTTCCCTTCAGTTAAGCTGTCACTTGTTCCCAAGGAGAGACTTCACCAGAGAACTTCGTACAGCAAAGACTCCTACAGGGCCTTACTTTTCGCAGGTAACAGCAGACAATGGCAATAACAAACAAGGTTGAAAGACTAATTAGTAGATACAGCCGGTTTCTGTGATCTAAAAGTGGGAAAATCAAGAAATATTTTGGTCAAGTCAAGAACAGACTTTTTCCCCCCTGCAGTCTATGGACAAATGGAGAAGCCAACATTCTTCTTCCTGGCATGGGAGAGGCCTGATGAACAGGCCAAGTTAGGGTGACCTGGGAAGAGGGAACCTCAGATGAGAAAATGCCTATATCAGACTGCCTGTAGGCAAGTCTGTGGGGCATTTTCTTCATTGCTAATCAAGAGAGGAGCCCACTGTGGGCAGCGCCACTCCTGAGCAGTCTAAGAAAGCAAACTGAGAAAGCCACGAGGAGCAAGCCGCATTTCTTCAGACTCTGCTTCGGTTCCTGCCTCATCCTTCTACGATGGACTAGAAGCTGTAAGCAAATGCAATATGTCCTTTCCTCATTAAGCTGTTTTTGGCCAGCACTTTATCGCAGTGATGTAAAGCAGACTAACGCAGGCAAGAAGGAAGACCACCACATTGGCACTCCTGAGAAGGGGCTGGCCTTGTGTTCCAACAAGGAAGACAACATCCTCGTTCCTAAGAGTCTGACTGTTATACAATTTGGTGAAACATATCACATGAAACTTAATATCTCACCCACTTTCAGAACACGGCTGATTAATCTGAGGTGTTTTTACATGGCTGTGCAGCTGTCTCCACACCAGTCTAGAACTTCCTCATCTTCCCTCACTGACCTCTGCCCCAGTGGACACTAACTTCCCAGCCTTGTCCCCAGACTGTGGTCCCCAATGTTCTCTGTTTCACCTGTCATTTTGTTGCTCCAGGACCGCACAGGAGGACAGCAACACTTGCCCTTAGGGCCAGGCTTATTTCACTTAGCACAGCACACAGTCTTTCAGGCTTATTATACTACTGTGTCAGAACGTCTGCCCTTTTCAAGAGTGGATGCTATTCCATTGAACATACAGGCTGTATTTGTTAGCTCATTCATCTACCTGCGGACCCTGGGCTGCTCCCACCTGTGGGCTGTTGACACCCACAGGTGCACAGTGCTGCAACTACGGACCAGGGTTGGTGTGCCCTAGCTGATTTTACTGTAGTTTTTGGAGTACTGGAGATTGAATTTAGGGCTTCATGCATGCTAGGGAAAACGCTCTGCCACTGAGCTTCAGTCAAGCCCTAATTTTTGCACACATTGTTAAATAAGGGTCCAGCTTCATTCTTTCACACATGTATGTTCTTTTGCCAGCATTATCTGTTGAAGAGGCTGCCTTTTCCCTACTGAATGTTCAGCTTAAGCATCTACTTACTGTAAAGAATTATTTACAAATTCCATTAACAGACACACATGCAGCAAAACATCCATACACATAAAATATTTTACAAGAAAACATGATGCTCAGGGACCCAGGTACAGAAGCTATACCTGGTGACTCTACCTCTGTGGACAATCTGGACAGGTCAGGCCACTAACGCAGATTGGTCTGGGAGGGTCAGGGTCTTACAGAGACAGAGATTCCTTTCAGAGAACACGTATTTTGCAACAGATGGAGTGCTGGTATTCAATGCTATTTTGATGTCTACTTTGAAGCAGTTAGTGCTGTGGGGTGTAAATTTTCATTCAATAAGAAGATAGTCACAGAGACCAAAAATAAATCTTTCTTACTTGTGTCAGCCTGACCGCACACTGTGTTTGCTGTGGAGTTGCATCTCTGGAGGACAGGGACTCCCTGGGGACACCTGCAAAGAGATACCCTCAGTTCTTCCTGACAGTCAGCAGCAGAAGATGCCCGGAAGGGCTTGATGCCAGCTCCAAATCACTGTCAGGCTGTATCATGATCCAAGATCTGAAACAGGGCTCTGGCCACACAGTTGTCACCAGCCCCACTGGTGACATCTGTGGCATCTCAGACAGTATCGCATGATTCTCACTAAATACACAAAATTTACAGTTCCCTTCTCTACTGATGTCCATAGCCTCTTTGGCCTTGGAGTGAGGACTCAAGTTCGGAGTCACCAGCACATGCTCCAGGACTGTGGCTTGTGCTGGCACCCCTAGTGGTTTGAAGATGCAACAACAACTCCATCTGACTGGAGTGACTGCCAACTTATTGAGGGTGAAACCTACAGAATTTCCTAAAACCCTGCTCTAAGTCATTTTAACCTAAGTCAGTTTACCCCAGACCTGCCTTCCTGGGAATGAATGAAGGTTTCCCTAGCACTCCCAAAGCCTGATACACTGAAGAATCCTGGAAGATGTCACTCAGAAAAACCGAGTCCTTTGGCAAGTGATATCTACTTTCTCTCAAGGGACATTAGCCTTGGAGACGGCTAGCAATAAGTCCTGCACCACCCAGGCCACAGAGTCCCCAGCCCAAAGTACCCACCGAGAAGGTATGACAAAGACTGTCCCTTTCTCTGGACATAAAATGCTACTCAAAACAATGCATAAAGCCACCACAGACCCATGACACAGTGTCCTTACTTGGTGCACCGGCGACAGAATTCAGTGGAATCAGCATCAGAATAGAAAAGACCCATTCGGCACCGGCATTTCTGGTCACTGGTGGCAGAGCAGTTGGCCACTGGTTCTTGATCTGCAATCCAGGGAAAGCAGGGTTAGGTCAAGGTGAGCATCTCAAATGTGCACATAGACCCCACCATCACCTGAAGGGAACACTGTGTCCCACCTTAAATGTGCACACTGACCCCACCACCACTTGAGGGGAACGGTGTGTCCCAGTATGAGCTTTACCAGCCATCACAGATGTACCAAACACTAAACAGTACTGCTATGAACATTCACACCCTCAGGCCTCCGGGTAACATCCAGACTTGAGGTAGATGATGGCTTGGGAGATTCATTGTTCAGCATCCTGTACAACAGCATCAAACTACCCTGAGGCCTCCATCCCAGGTGGTCCTGGTTTGTATGCCTACTGCTGCCCCACAAGATCCCCCACTCCCACCCCAAGACCACCATCTCCTTCAGACATCTCTGACATTGCCTTATTTAATTATCCCATTCTTTGCTGAGGAGCTCCTAGTGATCGTGTGTCCAGACCCCTGGCGGGTCCATGGGCTCTAGGTATGCACCTGTCTTAATTGAGACTGACTCAATGGCTTATGAAAGAAAACGGCTTTCCCACTTGGGGTGCTCCATTTAAACCTTGTGTCTATAGTTCAGTGCACTACAGACATTTAACCTACCTGTGTCACCTCACAGTGCTCTGAAGCTAGGCAGTGTCCATTCTAGGAGTACAGCAGTGGGCACAGGCAGGGAGGACTCTCAGCCCTACTCTCTGTAGATGTCTCACAGCACTTTCACAATCTGTGACTGTGGAACGTGGTTCTGGCTTTTTGTTTGCTTGTCTGTTTAAGATAATATTTCTCTATGTAGTCCTGCCTGGCCTAGAACTCACAACATAGATCAGGTCGGCCACACACTGCAGTGACCTTTTTTCATCTCTCTGCCTCCCTAGAACTGGGATCAGAGACGCGTGCCACCATAATCAGCTTGCTTCCATATTCACGCTTACGAGACATGTATGACAGTGCTGACACATGGGATATTGTGGTGTTTGTTATTTAGGTTAATATGACTCAGTGACGGGAGTGTGTACACATACACAATGCATGCACACACAAAAAAGATTTTTTTTCCCATAGCCGGGGAACACAGGTCTTCTGCATACCAGGCAAGCACCCTCACTGAGCTGCCTCCGCTGCCGTAGCAATCGCTTCAAGTTTGTTTGTTTTGTTTCTTTCAGATTCTCACTATATAGCTGTTACTGTCTTTAAACTCACTATGTAGGCCAGCCTGGTCTTGAATTCACAGAGATCTGCTTCCAGAAAGAGTTCCGGGAGTAAAAGCAAATGCACCTGCTTAAAGTTTTTGGGAAACTAATTTTATGACATAGATTTCCGTATCCTCCCAGTGACTCTGCAGGCGTGTCCCTCTTCTCTCAGCTGCTTCCCCAGATCCACACGCCTGCTGCTCTGCTCTTTAAGGTCTTCTATATGTTTGGGAATTTGCACACATGGAAGGGGTGATTTTTCTCATTCCTGCATGTGTTTTACTAGGTTCTGCATTCAACTGACAATTAGGAGAAAATAATCATTGGCAGAAGACTATCATTGTGATTGTGATTTTTCTGAACTTGTTCTTACTCTGAGTCCCTCTCACTCATAAGGAATAATCTTTGGTTTGGTTTGGTTTTGAGACAGGGCCTTACTGTGTAGCCTTTGCTGCCCTGGAACTCACTATGTTAACAGGCTGGCCTTGAACTCAGAGATCAGCTGCTTCTGCCTCCTGTGTGCTAGGGTTAAATGTTGTACAACCATGCCCAGTGGTAAGAAACAAATTTTAGTGGGGACTCTCCAGTTGCATCCTGGCATCCATCAGTCATGGCTACTCCATCCTAGTGCTGGACTAACGTGTTTCTGATTCTATCGCCAGTTTTCACAGATAGACAGTGAATGTCATTCCTAGTCCAGTCTCTGCTCGGTCACACACTTACCTCTTCCACAGCTGGAGCAAGGTATGCAAAACTGTAGGCCATTACTAGCCTCTGTGAATGTCCCTGGGTGACACTTCTCACATTGTCCTAGGGTGTGGGGGGTTGTGCAGGACTCCTGGACAAACTCACCTGTGGATAGGGCAGACAGGAATCAGCTTGCTCCAGGCACACATGGGTAAGGACTGTGTTGCTCTAGGTGGGTCTTTAGCACAAGTTCTATAATCTTTGGGCTGCCACAAACTGCTTGAGGATCTGTAAGGGCAGCTGGCTCCCTGAACTGCATTCCTTCCTGTGGATATCTGACCCTCTCAGAGAACCAGTGGTGAGTAGAATGGGCTTCAGACATGACCAGACAACAGACATGCAGAGTCCGCTGGAGAAGAGAGACTAGTGGAGTGAGACTGAGACATGATGGGGTCAAAGGTGCCCTGGATGGGCTGTGGCAGTGTCAGTCAGGTCTTGGCTAGGCCTGAATCGAGTCAAGCCTGGTGGACAGTTGGCGGAGTCTTGGTGTTTGGCTCTTGTATCTGTTTGGACCAATAATTTTTCATTTAGGCAATTGATGGTTGTTGCTATTTTTAATATTTTTTTAGTGTGTGTGTGTGTGTGTGTGTGTACAAGCATGTGTAGGTGTCCATAGAGAGTAAAGAGGGAATCAGCTCCTCTGGCACTGGAATCTTATGTGGTTGTGAAATGCCTGATATTGGTATTGGGAACCAAACTTGGGTCCCCTGCCAGAGCAACAAGCTCTCTTAGCTGCTGAGTCAGCCCTGTTTTCTTTTTGGAAACAAACCAACTTGAAATGGGAAAGTGAGTGACCATAACAAAGAATGTTAAAGCCAAGCCCTAAATTTTGGGATTGAGGCTGACATGAGTGGCCAGTTTGATGGACAGAGTACAGTGTCCCTGTCGTGCCTGCCACTCTGTGCTACATTGACTTCAAAACTAACTGTCTACTGGTATTACGGGATGACCTTCTGCTGAAGGAATGTCAGGAGGTGGCAGGGGACAGGCTGACACTGACTGGGAAGGGCTGGTGTACACCTTTAGCACTCATCTGTGCTCTGTCTCCAGAGGAGCCCCCCTGCTCTGCTCTGCTCTGCCCCAAGGCTGCGGGAAGCGGTGGGTTGGGGAGGGGGGAAACTGAGGCTTATAGGTGTAAGTAGCTTCACTCTGGCCACACATGGTTCTGCCTACATTTAACACAAAATTGCTCAGTTTTCTCAACAGCTGGGAACTGGACTTTTCAAGGACTCCTTGCTATGCACAGGAGCCTAGGGAACAGGAAACTAAATGATTTTTCCAGGGTGACAGAGCAGGGGATTGGTGGGACATGGGTCCAGGACAGCTTTACCTCAGTGGGCTTGGGAGTCCCATGGGAGGGGCCTGCTAAGAGCCCCTTTCACTCACCATGGTATGGTGTGATTTCTGCTCCATTTGTGTTGACAGACTAGGGCCTTAGGCTACCCCAAGTATCTGCAGCCTACTATGTGTGTCTTCATGAGTCATAAAGACCCTATGAACCATGGTGTGGTGAGCTGTCCTGCCAAGATCCCACTGAGTGAAGGTGGCGGGGCTCCTGGCGCCTGTCGAAAGTAAAGGTAGGTGATATTAAACCTCCCAGCTCCCTTTGCTGAACTTTCCTCTCGGCTGGGTACCACAGCTAATGCCTTGGAGGATGGATAGGTTGGATAGGTGACCTTCCACTAGTGAGGCCTTGGTAGAAGTAGTCACACCAGTTAACTCTCCTGAACACACAGAGGCTCCTTGGGGGGGGGGAGTCTGTGTACCTGGGTTAGGAGGCACTTCCTAGAATGTGAGTGAGTAGGCAGCGGCTGAGTTGAGCTCCCTGGCCCACACCCTCCTCATCCTGTACAGCCTCTGGTGTGCTTCAAAGGCCACTCATGCCTACACTCTGGCACTGGGTTCCATCGCAGAGCTCACCTGCACTACAGTTCTTGCAGCAGTGGCTCCCAGACAAATGCTCATCAGTGTCGCAGCTGAAGAAGTTCTTGCTCTGTCCGGAGAGTGGTTCTGTCATACTAGTTAACTGTAGCTGGAAAAGGACAAGGGGCAACTTATTGTGGAAAGCATACAGGCAGCAGGGCAGGGACTATCTGATGCTATGCTGTAGAAGGCTGGAGCCTGACACTGTCTGGAGAATGGTGCACAATAGATCACTGTGAGTTCTGGGTTAGCCTGGTCTAAAGAGCTAGTTCCAGGACAGCTAGGGCTATTACACAAAGAAATCCTGTCTCGAAAAACAAACAAACAACAACAGAAAGGCTTGGTGTAGTGGCCAGTGATAGGGGATTGAAAGGACAATATCCGTGGAGCCATATCACACAGGCAAATCCAGAGACTATAAAGTAATAGGTGACTCACACTAGAAAAACTGTTTACCTTTGTCACATCTCACTTTTCTCATCTGTAAAATGGGGATAGTAACATACTTACTACTTAGGGTTGTGAGATTAAATAACGCTTGTAGAACAGTTGGTTTGTTCCCAGCACAATCTCTCACCTCCCTACTTCCTGCACTAAACATAAGGGGCTCAAACTAAGAATACAGATCACTCGAACTCTGCATCAAAGAAATCACTAAGCCTAGGCCCTCTTCTTTATGTCTGCATTTGGATGCACACACTCTGGAAAATTCTGCACAGCAGCAGCCCTTAGGACTCAGCTAATGTGAGCTGTCCTATCTCACATCCCTACTGCTCTCTGCTCATTCATCTCACAACTGCTAGCATCCACCCCACAATCTTCAACTTTCTCTGGTTCCGAGCTCCCTCCTTCAGCATGGTTTCTTCAGCGAGCAAGAGAAACTCCTTGGCTGCGGGATTTCCTGGTGCGTAGATTAGGATCATCTGACGAGTTTTCTTTTTGCCTTCTGGTGAAGTCTTGGCCCACTTATTTATTTTGTCAGGAATTCTGCCACCAACTCAACAGGCAGGTAATGCAGAAATATTAAACTATACAAGATATGGATGTCCTATGATATTTTACTGAAAGAGAAATCACTTACTTGAAAAGCCAAGAAAGCCAAGAACCAAAGATCCCCATGCTGCCCTCCAGGTGGAAACCGAAACCCAAAGAGAATGATTCACCTCTCTCTAGCTCTATTTATCCCCGGTACATTCTACGTACACGTGAACACACCCGCATAGGAGTGGTTAGTGCTACGGATACATAAAATCTCTCCCTACAGGCAGGAGTCTTTTTAGGGTCACTAGCTTCATTACCTTCATTTGGTGCCATCTTCACCATCATCTATTGTACCTGACTTCATCAATGCCCTGAAGGCAATACCCACTATTTTCCCCTGCCTTGCAAGAACTGAATATTTGCCTGTTCCTCTATACTTTCTTTTAGGAAGGACAATGACCACAGGTCAGACTGGATTTGTTGAGATATCTTTATTTTCAACCCAGTGGAGGTGGCATAAGCCTTTAATCCCAGCTTTCCAGAGGAAGAAGCAGGCAGATCTCTGTGAGTTCATGGCCAGCCTGGTTTACCGAGAGAGTTCCTGGAAAACCCTATCTCAAAAAAAATCTTTATTTTCAATACTCTTTGAGGATAGTCTGTGTTTTGTATTCTTTAAAGAGATGTTATCTTCAGTCCATTATTTTCATTTATTTATTTATTTCTGTTTTTTTGAGACAGGGTTTCTCTGTGGCTTTGGAGGCTGTCCTGGAATTAGCTCTTGTAGACCAGGCTGGTCTGGAACTCACAGAGATCCTCCTGCCTCTGCTTCTCAAGTGCTGGGATTAAAAGAGTGTGCCACCACCACCCGGCTTATTTTTATTTTTGACTTTTACAAGACAGAGTCTCACTACACTGCTCTGACTGTTCTAGAACTCACTATATAGACTAGGCTGGCATCAGACTGACAGAAATCTTCCTGTCTGTCTCCCCAGTGCTGGAGTTAAAGGTGTGCAACACTACACACTGCTCATCTTCAATCTTTCTTTGAAGTACCTTTTTGTTTGTGACCGTATTTGAATCAATCATCACTTTTACTTTACAACATTGTTTCTGGGGATTTCTGGAATAAAAGATGCAGAGCCAAGACTTCTCTGGAAATGCCTCAGCAGGAGTGGAGCTCCAGAGCCCTAGCCCGGGGGAGCAGAGAAGCTTTCGAAGTTAAGAGTCACACCATGAGAAGCAGGGGTCCCGCCCCTCGTGGGGAAGTTCATCCTGTAGTTATTCTCAAACTACTATGAGTCACCTCTGAGTAAAGGTTGTTGAACATTCGCGGGCAGCCTGTGGAGAAGATCCCTGGGAGGGTCAAATAGAGTGTCAGTGTTAGCTCCTCGCTGGATTGGTTGTCGCCAAGGGAGTCCCAGTCAGCTAAGAAGTACTTTTAACCAACAAAGTACTTCTCCAGCCCAGCCCCCAGTGATTTTTTTCCCACAAGACACCGTTTCTCTTTCTAGCTTTGGAGCCTGTCCGGGAACTTGCTTTGTAGACCAGGCTGACTTCAAACTCACAGAGATCCACCTGCCTCTGCCTCCAGAGTGTTGGGAGGGATTGAAAGCATGCACCACCACCATCGTCCAGCACCATTGATTTTAAAGTGCCGATTGTATGCAAATGGTCTCTGACTACTCAAATACTATCTTAGAACAACCTAAGGATTATTTTTTTGTTGGTGTTGAAACTAAAGATCTAAATGTGTTGCACAAACGTTATATCCTAACGGTTTATAAAACATAAAATCTTTTTCTGCTTGATAGGATTTCTTTGTGTAGTTTTGACTGTGGCTGTCCTGGAACTCACTCTGTTGACCAGGCTGGCCTTGAACTAAAAAATATGCCTGCCTTGGCCTCTCCAGTATTGGGATTAAAGGCATGTGCCATCACCACCCGGCTCTTTTGGTTTTGAAGACAGTATATCACAATGTAACCTCTGCTGGGTTGGAATATTCTTTCAGAGACCAGACTGAACTCAAAATTGTGGCAATCCTCCTGTCTTTGCCTCCTGAGTGCTGAGGTTACTGATGTGTGACACCAAACCAGGCTTAAGAGAACTCTCATGAGAAAAGATGGACATAAAATTAAGTTGGCTATAACCAAAAGGCCATTTATAGGGTTATCCATTTTTGTTTGTTTGTTTGATTGATTGATTTTCAGAGTCTTACTGTGTGTGGCTCTGGCTGGCTTGGAGTTCGATATGTAAACCCAGGCTGGCCACTAACTTAAATTTAACTGTACTTCATTATTAAAGAGACAATGAGCAGTTTTAGGACAGAGATCAGGAAGGCCCACGAAAGGCAGTAGGCAGAGACATTCCATCTACAGGCTAGCTCCTTTAGTAGTAGTTAGCATATTTCTGGACAAGCCTGGCGGGACCCACCCGACAAACAGATGACTAAACTCGTGCACGAGCCTACATCTGCACCTGTGGGCGCGCCCGCAGGCCAGGAAGAAAAGAAAAGCCACCCCCCCTCCAAAAAAAAAAAAGAAAGAAAGAAAGAAAGAAAGAAAGAAAGAAAGAAAGAAAGAAAGAAAGAAAGAAAGAAAAGCCCAAAGCCCTGGCGAAGCAATTCGCCCGAAGCAATTCGCGCGCGTTTGGCCGCTTTTCAGTGAAAAGGCAGAGTGGCGAACCGGCATGTCTGCGCATCAGGGACACCCTTCTCTAGGCTGTGCACTTAGTCACTTCCCTGCCTCTGCCCCAAGTCCGCACCCCACCTCCCGACTTCTGACCGCGTTAAGAGTAGGCGACCTTCTCAAGATGCTGGTAGGCAGTGCCGGGACTGATCCCGGGGTGGCACACAGCCCGAGACCTGTTCACAGGCAGCGGTAGCTTTCCCCTGCAGCCCAGAGTCCGGGTGCCAGAACTGGGGTTGCAGTTCTGAGCCACGTGACGGCGGCGGCGTAACTCACCTGCATCAGCAGATACAATTGCAAACAACGACCCAGACTGGAGACTGACACAGGACGGGAGATCATGACTGTACCACAGCCCTCGTCTTACATTACCTTAAATACCCACTGTGGGTCCCGCCTCTTCTCCGCCCATTGCTTCCTGTATGATTGCCCAATCTCTGGGTGGGGCTGGCTGTACAGCACCTCCCCTTTTGGCCACATTCATGTAATATCTAACTTCTATAAGTGCAGATGTAATTTTAAGCACCAGTGAAGTTAGGTATTAACAGAATCTTATTGTTGCAAGCAGTAAACTAGAGTTAGGTTCTCTGCAATGTTTTTATTACTTTTATTATATTGTTTCTTATTATAAACTAATGAAATATTTCTTTTCCGTGACCTGAGGTAATGCAAAGGTTTGAACTAGAGTTGGGATCTTTATAAAAGACAGACAGAACCCGGTATAGGTGGCTCACGCCTTTAATCCCAGCACTAGGGAGGCAGAGGCAGATGGATCCCTGTGAGTTCAAGGCCAGCCCTGTCTACAAAGTGATTTCCAGGACTGTTTCAAAGAGAAACTTTGTCTCAAAAAAAAAAAAAAAAAGCAAACACCCAAACAAAAGACAGAGGCGGGCTGTAAACATTACTCAAAAGCAAGACAAAAGGAGAAGCTGAAAACCACTCTGACATAGCTGTCCCACTCAGCTCAACACAGGAGGCAGACAATTTAGCATTTTTGTTATTTCTCTTCCAAACAAGAAGTTTGAAGTAATTCTACCCCTGTGGCATCCCTGTGAATGGTCACTGGTCAGTGGTCTGGAGTGGCAGCTGAAGGGTTTGGGGGGCTGTATGAGACCTGCTGACTCTGCTGGCCTCAAAGTGCCTAAGACTGTGTGATACTCTCCCATGGCTCCAGGAGAGGCTGTCCCTCCACCCTGTATTGGCTTCCCCTGGCCTGTGAGTGAATCCCTCAACTATTCTTCCTGTTGATTGTGCTTAGCTCCTCATGTGCTCTTGGGACATAGGACATTTGAAGCAAGTCTCCTAGCCTGACATAGGAAACATAAAGTCTATCTCTCATCCTTTCTAGGGAGCCCGGGTCCAAGATAGTTGGTTCATCTGTTCCACCTGCCTCCTCCAGGTGCTGGAAAAGGTGGTCCACTGACCAGCCCATCCATCTCCCCTCCAAATGCCACCTCCTCTTTAAAATGAGGGAAGACTCAGGGGCACCAGAGGACTTTGGATTCCATTGGCTGCCCCAAGAAAGAGGAACCTGACACCAGCAAGGCTCTCTTTAAGTCATCCATTGTCTCTCATCCATTCAGGGAGTGGAGCCTGTGACCACCAACCCTCATATAGGCTGGGCAGTGGGTGGGGGACGGACCAATTCTTTGGCCAACCTGATGCCTTTCTAATTTTTGTCTTCTCTGAGGCCTGGTGTCTGCTCAGGACTAAACCAAATCAAAACACAAACAGGTTTCCTTGGGAAGTTTGACCATCCCCTAAGGTACTCACTCTGAAGTGTCCCCCACCCTTGGGAAGCAGAAGGAAAGTGGAGGAAGGGAAGAGGAGAGAAGCAGCCACTTGTGAATACTATTGTGGCACCTGCCAGCTAGCTCCTCTGACTAGCTTGGGATTTGGGGAGGTTAGGGGCCTTCCCTTTCTGCACACACATTCAGGTCTTGCCTGTGCCACTCTGCAGGGGAAGGGAGGGGAGGCCTGTCTACTCCAGCTATAATTTTGTGCCCCAGGCCCCTCTATGATCCCTGCCCTTTGCTCTTTTAAATTTTTTGGGAGAGAGAGACAGAGAGGCAGAGGTGATACATCTTCTAAAGTTGGAGTTACAAGTAGTTGTGGACTGTCTGATGTAAGTCTGGGAATCAAACTGGGGTCCTCTGCAAGATCAGTCATACTCTTAATGGCTGAGCCATCTCTCTGGTCATCTCTCCACCCTTGCTCTTTAAAGTGGGATATCATACTGGTCCAGGAACTCCATAATGGTTCAAGGCAGTTGGGTGACTTTCTTACATGAGTATAGTAGCCCTTGATGCTCTTTCTGCAGAGACACCCAGAGGTTGCCCACATGGAAGTGAGGGGCTGAATAAATACCAGGGGAATGTTCTCACCTCCAAAATAGATGTGGTAATCTCTTCTGGGAGTACTCCCCAAGTTGCTGCTGGGCAGGTTGCTGTTTGGGAATATGTGAGGATTCTGTTTGTGCTCTGCCATTTCTGGGACTGCAGTGAGGATCTTTTAGTAATGTTTCATCACTACACACAGAGATAAAAGGCTACAAGGGCAAGGGAAGGGCTTTGGTAGGTGAGGGCGGATCTTGAGCTGGGACAAGAACTCAGGGAGTGGTATAGAGGGGCCAGGTAGTTAGTGTGGCCTGTGGGGTCCAGCCTGGAGCTTTTCTCTTTTTTGCTAATTTTTATGTGGTGGCACATACAATGGGAAAAGTTCTTAAGGTGAATGTGGATAGTTTCCTGTCCATCTCCAGGCAGGTGATGCACATGTTGTCACGTACCAACCAGTCTCTGCAATATGGTGGGATTCATTGGAAACTTAAATTTTATCTTCAAACATGTTTGTATACAAATTCTATACAAATGCCTACAGCTCCATGTGACATAATAGCTCTGTGCTAGCTTGACTTTCTTTACCAAAAGCAACTTGGGGAGAAAGAGTGTTATATTAGGTTTACAGGTCACAGTCATGGAAGGAGACCAGGGCAGTAACTTGAGCAGGGCAGGAACCTGGAGGCAGAAACTCAAGCAGAGGTTAATGGAGGAGTGCTGCTTACTGGCTTGGACTTGCTCTGCCTGCTTTCTTATAGAACACGGGACTACTCAGTTATCTGGACCATTCCATATTAGTCAAGAGGTTCCCTCTTCCAGGTGACTCTAGTTTGTGTTGAGTTGACAATGGATGCTATGACAATCTCCCAACACTGTATTAAAAAAAAAGACTTAGAAAACCTTAAGCTTCAGAGAGAAGGCTCAGGAGTTAAGAGCTCAGCCCTTGCTCTCCAAGCCTGATGACCCTAGCTAATCCCCAGAACCCATACAATGGTGAAACCAAAGGCCAGGGCGGTGTCACATGAGAGGTAGAGGCAGGCAGATCCCTAAGTTTGAGCTCAGCCTGGTTTACAAAGTGAGTTCCTGTACAGCCAGGGATATAGAGTAACCCTGTCTTGGGGGAAGGGGAGCAAAACCACAGAACCCATTGCACTAAGTTTTCCTCTTCTCTCTCTCTCTCTCTCTCTCTCTCTCTCTCTCTCTCTCTCTCTCTCTCTCTCACACACACACACACACACACACAAGCACCATGCAACACAATAATATTTTTTAAATGATTTGAAAATAAAAATAAAATAGGTGGACTTGGTGGCACATACGGCATTAACCTCAATACTAGACAAGCAGAGAGATGAGGTAACTTGGTCTATACAGTGAGTTCCGGGCCACCAAGGCTACCCATTGAGACCCTGTCTTGAAAAACAAAACAAATAGATGATACTCTAAAAGAGGAAACTTGTTTTTCAGACTTTTTTTTTTCTTAGAGCTTGGCTTTAACTTGGTTGTCGTTGATTGACTACATTTGCCTGAGTTCAGTCTCTAAGAAAGTAGGGAAAGTAGGTAAATTTAGTTTAAGAAATCATTGTTCCTAAACCTGTGTTACTCAAAAAGGTGAGGAGGAATTTCCTTTGCAGACCGGATCAGACTGGATTGGGTCTTTTCATATCCTTTGGGGCTCAGGCTTGTGATTTCCTTTAGTAGCTTCATGAAGGAGAGCTCCCTCTCAAGGCAGCCTCAGCTCCTCTACCCAACAAAACCTAGGACTGAAGCCTAGTCACCTTCCAGGCGCCCTGCAAACTCCTCCCCCTCCTTCTGACGTCACCTAATCCGAGTGTCCTGAACTCTGAGGAGTGCTGCCCAGGTGAGGGGAGCAGGTTGGCCTTCAGCCCGTTGCTGCTTTTTGTCTGCTACCCATTAGGAGAGTGGGTTCTCTGTATACTATTCCAGGTAGAGCAGTCATGCAGGAAGTGACATGTGTCCTGAACCCTGACCCCTCGTCCAGAGCAACTCCTGTGTCAAGCCGGGCTGAGATCCAGGCACTGACTCAGAGTCAGAGAATGTGGGTGGAGAATGGGGCAACTCTCCGTTAACAGAGAGCTGGGGATCAAAGAGGTGAGTTAGAATACTTGCTTCTTCTGTTTTTTTTTTCTTTTTAAATTTAAATTTAAATTAGAAACAAGGTTGCTTCACATGTCAATTCCAGGTCCCTCTTCCTTTCCCTCCCTTCCTCCTATGCCCTCCCACCAACCCCCCCAATATCCCCTCATTTCCCCAGGGAGGGTGAGGCCCTCCATGGGGGTGTCCATAGTCTGTCATTTCATCCAGGGCACCTCTTATTGTTGGATGGGTGCCCAAAGTCCATTTGTATACCCGGGATAAATACTGATCTACTACCCAAGGCTCAATAGATTACCTAGCCTCACTGACACCCACATTCAGGGGGTCTTGATCAGTCCCATGCTGGATTCCCAGCCATCAGTCTGGGATTCAAGAGCTAATCCTTGTCAGGTCAGCTGTTTCTGGGGGTTAAACCAGCCCAGTCTTAACCCCTTTAGTCATCAGTCCTCCCTCTCTGTCACTGGATTTCTTGAGTTCAGCTCAGTGTTTAGCCGTGGGAGTCTGCCTCTGCTTCCATCAGCCACTGAATGAAGGTTCTGTTTCCCAGACTCTCTGGCCATGGGATTGTAGGCTGGCACTTCCCAAGCCTATGTCTAAAACCCATATATGAGAGAGTACTTGCCATGTTTCTCTCTTTGTGACTGGGTTACCTCACTCAGGATGGTTTCTTCTTCTTTGGCTGTCAGGTAACTATGTAGATCAGTTTGGCCTTGACCCCAGCCTTGAGATTAAAGGTGGGCGCGCCTCCACACCAGAAGCAACACGTGTTCTTACCCACCTCTCCAGCACTCTTACTCTGACCTCAACCCTGCCTGATCTGAGCCCAGGCCCACAGGAGCCCTTAGGCAGACGACCGCACTTCAGCACCCAGCCAAAGGTGTCGGCCCCAGGACACTTTTCTCTTCTGGCATGCCTATGTATTTCCTGCCATAGCCCT